GGGCCCAGCTGAGCGGAGGGAGGGGAAGGAGGGCGGGGCGCCACGCAGGGAGGGGAAGGGGGGCCATTCAGCTGGGCCCCGGCCAGCAAGCAGCCATTTGGGGTCCACGCTTCCCACGCGTGGGGCCCAGCTGAGTGGCGTAGCGCTTGGCCGAACCGCTATGGAGGGAGGGGAAGGGGGGGGCACTGACGTACATGGCCAGGGGGCATGGCCGTGTACATCAGCGTTACAGAGTCACAGACAATGGGCTACTATATATAGGATGCGCCAAAATGTGCAGCAAACTGGCCCACATGGACCCGGGTGGTGCATACTAAAAAACTCTCTCTCAATGTTAACATGCACCAGGGAATTTTTTGTGTGCCCCAGCAGGGTCCCTATGTCTAGTTAGCGCACACCACATTGGTGTAAGTCACACCTTTATAGTGTGCATTGCGGATCCTTATAGATAACCCTAGAAAGATCATAGAAATACATAAAGAGTGGACTTGTTTGTGGTATGCTTGTTTACACTGATTACCTACCTACACACTAGTGGCTGGTTAATTTCACAAAGGCATCACTGAAGATGTGGGTGGGTGGGTCTTAAGGGGAGGGACCTGAATGAGAAGAAGCTAGTAGACTCTGACTACCACATGCAGGGTGCTCCAAGTAAACACAAAGGCAGTTGCAAAAGAAGTGGATAGATTGGGCTTCTATTAATTGAGGTGCTTTATCCATCTACCTTTGAAAACACAGATTTTGTTTACTTGAACAGATGCCATCCATTTGAAATCTAACCATAAGTCTAGAGCAGTTTCAGATACTACATCTGCCCTGGAGTCCCATTGCCAGTTTTTGTGATTTTACAATTACATTTTCTTTATTTTAAGAAATATTTTCTCTCACCATACTGTGTGTAAAACCCACGTAAACAGAGGAAACTGATTATACAAAAGTGAGATTGAAGCTGATTATACCAAACATCCTGTTAAACTAAAGCAAACAAACAGCAAAATGATTCTATTTTATGTACAGTCATCTGAGTCTTTACTTGCAACAGCACTGATAAAAAAAATCAGACAGAAAGGCACTAACTTGGGTATAGTTTTAAATGAATGACTCATTCATGCAGCACGCTGCAGTACACAGTATTTGTATAGCTAATGACATCTTCTACATTCCCATCCAACAAATCCGGCCACATGACAGAACACCAACAGCAACCCTTTCATCATAAACTCTTCTGCATTAGCCTGCCAGAATCCAGAGCTGACACTGTGTAATTTTCATTCACCTTAGATCTGATCTTGCATTTCCTACTCAGACCTAACTGGAATCTGTGGGAATTTTGAGACCAAATAAGACTCCCTATACGATGCAGTGTTTCAGATATAGCTCTAGTGAACAGCTAGCTATTTGTGTTCCACATTCCAGGAAGTTACAAACATTTTTTCTTCTTTCTTGCCCAGCATTCAGAAAACAGAGTCGTAAATTAATCATGCTTGTGCGGAGTATGGATGGATGGGTTGCGTAGCACATATGAATACCATGCAGTATTGAATCATAATGGCAACTAATAATGGAGTTTTTGCTATTGAGTAAGCAACACATCTGTTTCTACTCTAGAATGGTACTCTACCTTCCCACTAATCAGCTGTCATGTACTGTATGGGAACTCAAGGGAAAAATGAGTGGTAATTAATTCCCTTTAAAGTCAGCCTCTAGTTCCGCATCCACCCACTTCTTCCGTATGAGAGGAAATGTTCCTCATCCCCTTGTTTTCACCTTTGCACAATTTCCAGACACTGGCCTTCAGAATATCACCCAGATGAACCGAGCGGTGAGTTTTCATTGTTATCTTCACAAGGAAACAGACACTCAGTATGACCACCTAACACTAAAGTAAACAAAACTCATGTTACTGGAACAAGCTTCAGAAAAATTCCAACAATTCATTGTTAATGAATAAGCTTCATGGTTTTTGTTTAGTTTATTTTTTGAAAGTAACTTTTCGTGTCTAATCAACACAGGAGGTTCAGGCTTTCTAAACTGGACTGAAACCTACAAAAACCATTTCAATTTTGAAGAACTAGGATTTTAAATAGCGAGGAATGGTTTTCTCATAAAAGCCTGAAAGTATGCCACATAATTTAAGCTTTAAGTAAATTACATACAGTATGATAATTATGTAGCTCGTGTAATATGAATATTCCATTTACTAACTCGCCTCCAAAGCAAGCTAATGTGTTCATTTGGATTTTGTAGTGACATGCTCCTGGGACATCCTGATCTCCAAGCTGAGGTAAAGACTCTGAACCTCCCTCTGTTGTTATCATCAGAAGCTTGGACCAAACTAAAAAATGACTATGTGGATTCTCTAGCGGTAAGACTTTGGACTTCGTTGTCTGGCTTAGATAGGAGAAAATAATTCCAGACTCCTACATAGAAAATTCAGGCATCTTCAAAGGGGAACACTCACCCCCAAGGCTGCCTAGTGGTCAAGGGGGAGTGCAGAGCCCCATTTCAGGTTATAGTTCTCTCGCATGAGGCCTGTCCTTCCAGCCAGGTTATATGTCTCAGTCCGGCCCTTTCAGGGTATACCCAAAGAAAGTATGATCACAGGGAACTCTTTCAGCACCTGCATGGACTTCAGGATTTTCACCTTAGCCTGGGGACTAAGGTCTAGAAACATTCAGGGGCTTTTCTCACTGGACTTTCCACCAAAGTAAAGGCTCCTATTGTCCTCGTTTTTGGAGTTGGTAGGGGCTACCTGCAGGATGAGGCCTCTTTAGCTCTTGTTTGCCAGCATGGGGTTTGCATCTCCGCACCATAGTCTCTCTTAAAGGGTTTGATCCTGCAATATGCTAAGTGCCCTCAACTCCTATTGACATGGGGCACTTTGCAATAGGCAGAACCTGGCCAGAAATGAACAGAAATCAACATGATTCCAATTCCTTTATCTAAGGCTGTGTCCAGACAACAGGGTTTTTTCGAAAAAAACTTCCCCTGCGTCTAGACTGCGACCGTTTTCTTTGGCAAATAAATTGAAAGAACACAGCGGTTTTTTGACCACGGTAAACCTCATTTTATGAGGAAGAACGCCTTTTTTCGAAAGTGCTCTTTTGAAAAAAGGTGTTCTTGAATGCAAACAGGGCTTTTTCGAAAGAGAGCATCCAGACTGCCTGGGTGCTCTCTTTCGAAAAAGCATCTTGCTTTTTCGATAGAAGTGATTGCAGCCTAGATGCTCTCTTTCAAAAGAGGCTTGTAGTCTAGATGTACCCTAAATGTGGTGCTTCATTCCAATCTGTTATCCATACACAATTTTAGAGAACCCCATTAGACAGTATAATACAGTAGACTTCCAATAATCAGGAATCTTTGGGACCTAGGTAGTGCCGGATTATTGGATGTGCCGGACTATCAGGGGGTACTATAAACTGGTTATATATATTCTGTATACAGTACAGTAAAACTCCGATGGTCCGGCATCTGATGGTCCGGCATCTGATGGTCCGGCACTCCTAATGATCCGGCACCATCAGGAACCCGGAAGTGCTCCGGGCAGCCGGACCATTGGAGCTGCTCTGCCCCCAGCTTCCCAGATTCAGCCGCTGCTAAAGCTGATCAGGGGCTGAATCGGGGAAGCCGGGGGCCGAGCAGCTGGAGTGCTGCTGGGGAGGT